GTTCGAACTGGAGTTAGGCAAGATGATATTCTATTACCTCTGTCGTTCAATATTGTTGTGGATTGGGTTATGAAGAAGTTGGTCATACAAATGGATTATTTATTGGTTGAATAAAACTCTTTTGAGAGAGTTAGAATATGCTGATGATGTATGTTTGTTGTGTTATGACCCATAAACAATAGCTGGAATGATTGGCACATGAAGCTCAGAAGATTGGTTTAACTCATTTAAGCATGGGCTTGGTACCTGAAACTGACCTCATAACCATTTTGCACTTGTTATAGTTTTCATGCTATAACTTTTAAATTAGTAAGCATATGTTCACGAAATTTGGCAGATTATCAGTAAGCATTACAAGACTTTTGTATGCAAAATATCAGATTTTTTCTATTAACTCTTGAGATTTTTTAAGTAATGTTTTTCTCATGCCTTTTTTCTTTTAGCATGTTGCCTGTCCAACATACAAAGTAATTTTCATTTTAAGATTGAGAATACTTTTATGCATACGCAAATTTTCAAATTTCACATGCGAAATCTTCATAATCTCCAGATAATTATCAAACATTTTTTACAAAAAAACTTTATATTTTATCTGTTATTTTCACTATCGAATCTCTGTACAGGTTTGGCAATTTTGACAAATCTCATAACCACTATAAAAATTAGGAAATAAACATAAATTATGTTTTTTCGTTTTAGAATGACTACAAATTATAATTCCAAAAACAAATGTCATAACATTATACATGTACATATATATATATATTTATTATTTTTATTATATTGACCTTTCAGCCATGCCTGGCTAACATCACAGAACTTACAATGACAGGGCACACTTGCACTCATGTTACCATATCGAATAATATGAAACTGACCTTTACAAAGTGACCTGTCTTGGCTGTGTTTTAGTGGACTAGTATTTTGTAAAATACAGTCACATTTCAGTTATAGTACATTATATATGTATATACATTATTACTATTTACAAATAAGTTCTTAAACTTATTTTTCTTAAAACAAAGAACAGTAAATAAAGAAGTATAGCAAACAATTATTTCTTCTAGTTATGACCTTTGCACTCATTTGCTGCTTGCCATAGGTTGTTAAACCTTATAAAATTTCACACGTGAAGGATGTGAAACAGAAAGAATTTTTTTAGGTTTTATATGTACATTTGAAATAACCAGAAAATCATAAATTACTATATCGATACTATAGAATTCCACTATAATTTATTAAGCTTAGTAACTAAGCTGTATTTGAGTCTATAAACATTTTGAGCAGACAAAAGACTCAACTTACCAACTTGACATCTTGTATCAAAAGAAAGAGTTGATGTCATACTATTTTAAAATGGCTGAGAAAGCCACTAGGGGGACATTCTGAGCTTTCGATTGATTATTCACATGTCATAGAACGAAGTAAATGTATATGAAGAAGTGTTTCCAAAAAATGGAAAAAGGTGGGCAGGTCCACTGTGTTTGATTCAGTACACGAGTGATATCTCAGCAAGTAGAAAAGATAGGAGGTTCTTATTTTATAATTCTAGCTTGTCAATATCAGTAATTTGAGTTCCTAATTTGTCAGAAACTATAGACTTTGTATTTGGACATCACAAACATCAAATTTGAACCAGTGCTGCATTCAACATACCACATGACACAGAAAAATCAATGTTTAGGTGTGATTTTTAATATTACTTTTAAATTAAGAAATTAAATAATGTATAATACTAAAATTTGAGTTATAATCTACAGTTTGATACCAAACTTACTGACATAAATTCATAAAATAGTAGTTCATAAAATTTTGAATGTGAGTCAACAAACACAACGACATTGCATGTGACCCATGTGGAGAGGGTTAATTATTAATACTGGTAAAACAAACAGTGGATGAATTCATTGTGGATGGAGTAAATGTGGGTGTGGCAATCTTTATATATCATGGTAGTATAGTTAGTGTTGATGGATATATATACACATGGAAGTAAGGACAAGACTGCAAATAGCAGGAGTTTTTCTTCAAAAATTAAATGGAATATGAAATAATGCAGGTTTATCTATTAAGATGAAGATTAAGTTGTTCAATAATTTGGTTCTTTTAGTTTTGTTATATGGCTGTGAGACAAGGAAAGGGTTGAAGAAAACTGAGTCTAGAGTGAGATGTTTTGAGAGTAACTGTTTAAAAAAGGTGATGAAGATCAGATGGTTTAATCATGTAAGTGATAAGACATTAAGAGAGAGAGGTGGTGAACAGTCAATCATAAAAAGCTCCAATTGTATAGATGGAGATACTATAGGCATGTACTAAGAATGAAAAAGAATAGATATCAAGACAAGCAATGGGCTGGAGGCTAATTAGAAAGCATAGAAAAAGACCAAAAGATACTGGGCATAGAGCAATAGAGGACAAGAGAATAAAGACTTGGACAGAATAGACATTGAGGAATGGGCAAAAAGAAACAAATACAGAGGAGAACCTTCAAAGCTGCCCTATGGGCCACTCAAGGTCTGATAATGATAAATCAAATAAAAACTCTGACACAATGTAAAGAAATGCCTACTTAAGTTGCCAAGGGTGATGGTGTTGTCAGCCAGTTACTTTCCCTCTAGTCAACAATTAAAAATTAGCATTAGTGGCAGATATTCTTAATAGCTTTGACATAACAATGACAGGGTGAACAAGTTTGATAGCAATTGAAATCGAACTCAAGACCCTCAACTCATGAGCCCCTCACCCCCAAACAATGATAGCCAAAAGTTGAACAAAACTGATGTTAAAAAAAATCTAACATTAACTCTTTCAATATGGGGTCAATCAATGTGACAACCTCATAACCATTTTGTGCTTTTTATAGTTTTCAGGCTATAACTTTTAAATTAGTAAATAACATTAACAAAATTTGGCAGATTATCAGTAAACATTACAATGCTTTCACATGCAAAATATCTAATTTTTTTATTAAATTGTAAGGTTTTTAAACTCTTTTTTTTCTTTTCACATCTTGTCTATCTATCATGCACCAGTTTAACGTTGAATATTATTTATGATTTTAACTTTATACACAAGTGCCAAAATACTATAATTATCTTGGCTGTGTTTTAGTCGACTAGTATTTTGTAAAATACAG